AAAAAGAGAATAAATGGGAGAAAAGGGATAAATGGGAGAAAAGGGATAAATGGGAGAAGGGGGATAAATGGGAGAAGGGGGATAAATGGGAGAAAAGGGATAAATGGGAGAAGGAGGATAAATGGGAAAAAGGGAATAAATGGGAGAAAAGGGATAAATGGGAGAAGGGGGATAAATGGGAGAAGGGGGATAAATGGGAGAAAAGGGATAAATGGGAGAAGGAGGATAAATGGGAAAAAGGGAATAAATGGGAGAAAAGGGATAAATGGGAGAAGGGGGATAAATGGGAGATGGGGGATAAATGGGGGATAAGTGGGAGATGGGGGATAAGTGGGAGAAAAGGGATAAACAGGAGAAGGGGGATAAATGGGAGAAGGGGGATAAACAGGACTTTGGAAAAGCCTTCCAGGGGAAACAGGTGACAGCAACACAAGAAATGACAACAGGCTCCCCAGGGCATGGTCCCAAGGCTGACAGAGCTCGTGAAGCATCTGGACAACGCTCTCAGGGACAGGGTGTGATTTTGGGGATGGTCCTGTGCAGGATCAGGAGTTGGACTCGATGATCCTTGTGGGTCCCTTCCAACTCAGGGTATTCTGTGATGCTGTGACCGAGTCCTGCAGCACCTCCCCACTGGGGTTCATCTCCTAAGTCTGTTCTTCTCCCCACTCGCCCACTTTTGTTCCTCCAGGCAAAGAAAGAGGTGAATTGAGAGAAAAACTGAACAATCACAGTGTCCTGCCCTCCCCATGGTAGGATAAGCTGCACCCCTCACCTCTGAGGGGTGGTCCCTCCATCCTTGTCCACCCCACCCCACTCTCACTGGGCAGGAGGGGCTCCCCTGAGCTCAGAGGTGGGTGAGAAATATTTTTGCACAGAAAAGAGAAAAAAAAAAGATATGTTTTCGATACTTCTGCTTTTCTTTCTTCAGCCTTTAAATGTTATTTCTTTGTAAAAAAAAAACCCAATAAAATTATTACTTTTATCTCAGGGAACAGGGTATTTTTATCTCCAGGATGCGTCAGAACTTCCTGTTGTTTTTCTTTTTTCTCAGCAAACCACCTTTCCTTGAAAAATAAGGCCTCACTGCTAGAAAAAACAGGTTGATCTTCTCTCAAGGTGTTTTAAAATTTCACAAGGACGCTGCCAACCACTGAAATCTTGTCAAATGGCAGCACAATTTGTTCAAAGGGAGGATTAATTTCCAGGAGGAGTTCCTCAAGAGCTGAACACCTCCCATTCTGGTGAGTGTATTTGGAGTGTATCTCCTGCCCCAAACCACAAAGTCAGTCCTGGCATCACTAAACCAGCTCCACAGTTCCCCCAAGCACCTCTAACAGGGAGGCTTCCCACGATTCAGGGCTCTGTGAAGGCTTTTACTGTAAAGTCAGAGTGGAAACAGCCTTTTATCACATCCTGGCCAGGCTGTCAGTGTGTTTCTTACCGGCACTTCTTCGCTGTGTGCTGAAAATGCCTCTCTCTGTTTGCTCAGAGCAGCTCCAGCAGCTGCTTCCTAGCACTGCTCTGCTGCAGGTTGCTCACTCTACACAAAAAGATCATCTTTGACACACAGAGGCCTCATTTCTTCCCTGATCCACTGCCCTACCTGCCCATCTGTGGCATCACATAAACTAATCATAGCTGGTAATAATTAACACCCGACCTCCACTGCTGTGGCAAACCCAGAGTCCTGATATTTTAGAGCTGTTCTTAATCCAAAGGTGGTGAATAATTTTTTTCTCCTTCCCCAGTCTCAGACCAGCGCTTTTAATTCTATTTCCATCCAAACTCCCTGTTTCACCACTGAAGTATTCCTGTTCCTTATGCAAAAACCCGGATTTCACAAGGTCTTGGTAGTTCTTCTGGAGGCTCTCAAGTTGTTCCTAGAAAAGGCAACAGTTGTTGCACAAAAATCTTCCTCTCCTAAAAATATCCAAGGAGACTTGTGAGATCCTCTGCTCCAGTCACCAGCTGGGACTGCAACATCTCAGAAACCTCCTGCAGCAAACTCTGCCCTGTGTGAAGCAAAGACCCACCACAGCACAACCTCCTGCCCCTGGATCCTTAAGGACAGGATGAGTTTGAGCTGGGGATCCACAGCGTCCCTGCCCATGGTGGGAGGGCAGGAACTAAATGATCTTCAAGGTCCCTTCCAACCCAAACCATTCTGGCACGAGCATTTTTAGAGATTCTGGCTTATTAAGGCTTTTAACAGAGAGATGAGTTAAGCATCAGTGGTTCAGACCATCCAGCATCCATTCTCAGATTAATTCTCAGTCAATTCCCAAGCAAAGGTCCAGGGTATAATTCCAGAGTCTCTCTTGAAGACAAGGTCTCTCTTCTGAATTTGGTTATTTTAGTGTGCCTGGTATAAACAGGCGAGGTACAAACAGTCAAAGATAATATTTTCTTTTGTCCTTTCCCTATTTTTTGGTCAGTTGCTGCTGCTTTTCCAGCATCTGCACCCGAGCCAAGGGCTTTCAGAGCCAGAGATACTGCTGGAATCTACACCCCCGGAATCCCTGAGGGACTCCCACGTCCAGGAACATCCTTTGCTCCTCTCAGTTCAGAAAGGTGAGACCATCTCACAACTCTGCAGGTTCCAAAGTGTGTTCCCTCTGCATTTCTCACTGATCCCATCCAGAGGATCAGGGATTTCTCCATGCCAACAGGAAACCAAAGCTCTTCTCTTCACTGCTCTCCTGGATGCCCCTGGTTCCCTTCTTCACCTGGAGCTAAACTGGCTCAGGTACCTCTTTGTTTCCACAGGTTTTTACACACTCAGGAATGAAACGAGGCAATAGGAGCCTGGAGTTGTGAAGGGCACCAGCTGCCCTCGCTGAGCAAACTGCAGAATATCATTCCAGGCAGCTTAATCCTCCCTGGCATCCCAGAACTGGCAGGAAACTCACAGGCACTGGCAGTGCCTTGGCTGAGGCTCCCTCCTGAGATGCTCCTGTAACAAAGTTCCTTTTCTGCAATTAAGGCCTTGATGTCTTCTTTATATTTCTGGGGCAGTTTGTCAATAAATTACTCTCATTAAGGAAATTGCGTTGGAAGCTTTAAATCTCCAGCTTGGCAGTGAATCTCTCCTGTGACTTTACAGTAGTAGTACTTCTGGTTCTTTTCAGCTACAGTCATTTTCAGGCTGCTGCTACATATTCCTTTCATTCACAGTTGTGGATAAGAATAAAGATATTCTGTTCCCACGGAGGGCACAAACTCTCTTCTCTCTTATCTGTCTGTTTTGAAGATGGGAATGACAATATCTGGAGCCTGTCAGATATTTTTAGCCGGTCCCAATACAGCTCAGTTAATTGGAAGAGCTATTTTTCCTGGAATAGACATGTTCAAAATGTCCAATAATTGATGAAGGCCTCCTCCAAATCCTCAGATGGAAGTGGGAGAGGTTCATTTACCCTCCTGAGTTGTTCTTGGAAGTCTTCGCTTTCAGCCAGTGAGAACCAGTTTTCTGGGAATATACTGGTGACCAGAGAGCCTGGATGAGCAGGACATTGGGGAAGAGGAGGAGGAACAGGGCTGTTTGGTCCTGGATTTCTCTGATGACTCCCTGCCCTGCACACACAAGGTCTGAAGGGACCCAAGTGCCCCGTTCCCTCTTGCAGAAACGGTCAGTCCTACACATGTCATTTCTCACAGATGTTTATCCCTAAAAAAGGCAGGCAAGAAAACTCCCTGCTGCCTCTGGAAGTCAGAAGGAAAGCAAAAAAACAGCCTGGAAAGGCAGAAAGGTTGGTTTGTGCTCAGTCCAACTGCAGTGCATTTGGTCTCCCCAAACCAGAGCGTGGGTATTTTAGGGTGATCATGTCTGATCCAGATGCAGATCCAAATGCAGATCCCTCTCCAAGGTCCTTTGTCTGGAGTCAATAAGAAGAAGCCAAACACAGGCTGCTGGGACCAGCAGTTGCTCCCAATCCCTGCTCCAGGGATGCAGGATGCTCAGCAGGAGGGGTGCTCAGCTCCCCTCAGCCCCTCTGCCTCGGCTGTCAAGGATTTTTCATTCCATCCTTCCCATTTTGTGTCTTTTGCAGCGATCAAGTAGAAACTTTAAGGCTCAGTTCCCTTGGCCCAAACTCAGCTATTCCAGTGTCCTCACCAAATCTACATTTCCTCTTTGAGGGGGTGCTCAGTGAGGACTCTCAGGGCTGACAAGCCAGAATTGTGTCTAATCCCTCCTTCCCTGCTCCAGGGGCAGGTGTGTGAGCAAAGCACGCTACAAATAAACCTGACTTATCCCCCTGTGCAGAAATGGCACTGGGCACCTGATTTCAGCCCTCTGCCAAGCCCAGTGACTGCTCAGAGCTCCTCATCCACCTCCTGCCACCCACAGGTCCCACTGGCCGGGAGTGGGAACCTCATGAAACAAAACAAGCCTTTTCTCTGAGCAGCCTGAGAGCTCTGTTAGAGCTCCTGTGTCAGAAATCCATACTTGATTATATCACAACAAGTGAAATGGAGAAAAATGACAGCCCTGCTCAGAGCTGCCATATTTGGTTATGTGTGACAAGAGGCACAGGCACTGTGGTGGTTGAGGTTGGCGGCGTGGGGAGGAGAAAGGGGCGAGAAATCAACTTGCCACTGGAGTTCCACGGGAATTAAAATAAAATGTCATCGCATTGGGAGGAGACCAGGGTGTGGAGACAACTCCTCAGCAAGGGAGAAACTCATTTGTGGTTATTTATTAGGCTACATCTGATCTGAGCCGTGATTAACATACGTCAGCTGCAGTTTTTGACACTGCAGAGGTGGGTTTTGGGATGGGGAAGGGGGGGGAGATGGAAGCAGATGGGGCTGCTCTGCAAACCACATCCTTAAAGGAAAACCAGAGCAATTAACTGTCTTGTTAGACAAATATTTACCAGTTTGATGAGTTAATTGGCACACAGCTCTCAGACACTCTCCTCAAGCTGAGCAGGGAAGGGTTGGACAAAGAGGTGCCAAGTGCTGGAGAGGGAAGGGGGGGGCTCTGAGCTTCCCTGATGGGGATCTCCCTGCTCCTGGCTGCCCCTGCCATCACTCATGGCCTCAGTGCAGCAAAGTGGGGCTCCCTTTGGGGTGACCTGCCCTAGGAGATGTGTTTGCAAGCCTGCCAGGGTCACTGGGCAGTTCCCCTTCCCAAATCCCAACTGGGCCCTTTATCAGGCAGCTGAAGAGTCCTGACCAACAGCAGGGCATTATTTTCCAAACACTTCTGAGGTCTGTAATTATTAATCCTGCTCAGTTTGGTGAAGTCCTGCAGGCTGGAGCAGGGCTGTGCTGTGTTACTCTGGTACCAGCACGAGCAGCAGATGCTCCCTGCCCCGAGGAACTTCCACCCTAAATAGATGTGTCAGACACATTCCTGTGGAGCTCCCCCAGGCAGCAGCAAATGCCTCACACATATAGAGCAGAGCCTGAGCAAACCCTGCACCAACATTCCTGTGCTTCCCCTGGAGGGGGGAAAGCTGCTCAGGGAATGATGCTTTGACAGACTTGCTGAAGATTGTGGTGTGAATCCAAGGCAGGACATGCACAGAATCCCACAATGGTTTGGGTTGGAGGGACCTTAAAGCTCATCTAGTTCCATGGGCAGGGACACCTTCCACTAGCCCAGGTTGCTCCAACCTGGCCTTGGACACTTCCAGGGATGGGGCAGCCACAGCTTCTCTGGGCAACCTGTGCCAGGGCCTGACCCCCCTCACAGGGAAGGATTTCCTTCCTAAAATAGCACAGAACTCAATCCCCAAACTCGATAATAATCCCAGAGGCACTGGCAGAAACACCTCCCAGATCCACAGGGAAGCTGGTGGTGTGACCAAGCAACTGCAGTGAGGAGGGGACAATGACATCTGATTTCCAGGAGCTTGAAGAGTCAGTCCCTTTTTTTATTTTTTGTTTGATCAGTTAAGTCATCGATCCTAAATTCTGCACGTACCAGAGGAAACAGAATTTTAACTAGATTTTAATTACTTGTTTGCTCTTGGCAGGAGCCACCCAGCACAAGAGATAGATGCATGAATTTGCTTCTGTTCCTCCCCAACGCTGCATCCTGAGCAGCCTCCCGGGTGGAGAGGGGGCTGGGAGAGGCAGCTTGAGTGGTTTTATCCTTTTGGCTGCTATTGTTGAGCTGACAGAGACCAAGCCACTGTCATTTGCATCACACTCGACACTGTGCAAAGCACAAACCTTTCCAAAATGCAGATTGGGGATAACAAGACATCCTGTTGCACAGGGCCTGGCTGCCAGAGCCTGTGACACTGGGGAAACTGGGGGCTCCCATATGGGAGTAGCAGGGGAAAAATCTGTCCTCTCTTGAGCTTCAGGGAGAAGATAAAGCAGTGGAGGATGCAAATAAAAGGGAATCTATGGGAATTTAAGACAACAAGTGTTGTCTGAGCAAAGCCATGACACAACATGCTCGCACACATAAACCCCCTGGGCACAATCCCACCTGTTTTGCTCCAAAGTTGCTAAATGTGATGCCTGACCTGCTTTTTGAGTGGTAGTGGAAAACCACACCACTGCTGCTGCTGCTGGAGCTGCTGAAGATCACTGAATGCAGTGGAGAGGCAACCAGAGAGAGATGCTGAAAAAACTGCTTTTGTTCCAGAGAAAATGTTTGCCCCATCCCTGGAAGTGTCCAAGGCCAGGTTGGACGGGGCTTGGAGCAACCTGGGCTAGTGGAAGGTGTCTCTGCCCATGGTAGGGCATGGAACTGGGTGGTTTTTAAGGTCCTTCCAACCCAAACCAGTCTGTGATTCCATGATTTTAAAACAGCTCCTCCGGTGCAGCGCCAAGGGCACTCAGCACACCTCACCCAGCCAAAATAAAGCCACCCTGTGACCCCAAAAAAAGCATCTTGTGCCCAGGGAGGACGGAGAAGAGGAGCCAAAGGGCAGGGGTCTTGAGCAGGAATCAAATCCACCAAGCTGACACACAAAGAAGGAAATGAAGGTCGAGCCAATTTCCGTTTAAATATGAAACCCAAATATTTTTATGAGTCGTTCATTTTCCTTCCAAAACCAGGCACGTTTGCATGCAAATAATGGAGGGACATAAATGGTTATAAAGTAAGTCTCTTACCATATGAACTCTGTAGAGAATGCTAATTCCCAGAGTCATGAAGGGCTTAGAGAAATCAATCACCTTCTCCCGCTCCGCCGTGATCGTCAGCCCCGCCACAGCCAAGTCAGCCTTCTGGAGAGAGAGAACAGAGAAGGTCAGGGCCCTGAGCCTGAGAAAGCAGCAAAGCCACACCTGGGGCCACACACAGGACACCTGCCCCTGGAGGGGGGATGTCCAACCTTTCTGGGCCATCCCGAAATGAGGATGTTTTGCTGGTGCTGGTTCAGGCTGGGCTCGCACACCCCTCTCCCTGGGTGGCTTTCACACCAGCCCTGCTCAAACACACTCCAGAGTTTCATGGATGCTACAAGACCATTCTCCCCCTTTTTCCTTTCCTCACCTGGATGTTTTTCTCTCTGCACTCACAGGCTCCCCGTGGGGACCCCACTGTGCTGACAGCAAACACAACAGCAGCCCCTGCTCTCGGCCTCACTGCCATTTCTATTCATTTAATGGTGTAAAACCTGGCAAAACAGGAGCCATCAGAACAATAAATGTCGTGTTTATCTATAGAAGATACAACCTCCCCCTTCCCGAGCCCCTGCTGAGCACAGCTGGCCCTTCCTCGCCCCTTGCAAGTGGCACAGGTAAGAAAGAAAAGCAGAATTGTTACCCACATCCCATGAGTCATGAAGTTCACAAACCTGCCAACCCCAGACCTCCCAAATGGCAGATCAGCCTCCAAAAAAATTCAGAGGACTGGCATTAAAGTTTGCAGATTGACTTGCAAAGCAAATGAGATTAGGGGGAAGGAAAAAAATAAAAATAATTCCTTCCCGTGTTAATACCCTTGTAATATAGATAAGGGATTTGAATTTTAAATATTATTTTTATTACTTTAGCTCTTTTAAGGTCTGTAATTGCTTTCTGTAAAAATGAAACCTCTTCCAGTCCCTTATCCATTTGCTTGACTGCTTTGCAGGAAGATGATTACGCACGAGGAAGAAGAGAAGGGAGGGGGAAAGAAAAGCTGTTTGCACCTGTTGTCCCTAAATTTGACAAGGTCTGTGCAGAAGCCAAGGCACCATCAGGCCTGATGATGGTCCTGGGAAAGGCTGGAGTTGCAAGAGGGAAGAGCAGCAGTGCTGGAGGCAGCAGGATGGAGGAGAGGGAAAAGGAAGTCAAGGTGATCCTCAATCCCAGTGAAGGGGGTCATGGAGAAGGTGACAGTCCACGCAGGAGTGTTTTATTGGACATGCTCAGTGCCAGATTTTTGCACTTGTTTCCAAGCAGCTATTACAGATTCCTAAGAGGTTCAGGCTGGGATGAATTATGAGCTAAGGAGAATTTCTGCCTAGCCAGACATTTACCCACAGGCTTTTTAAAAGACACCAATAATCACAACGTGGTGTGTGAGCGGTTGAGCCCTGTGTAAACACCAGCAGATTACTAAAACGGGATCAGTTCATCTGTGCAACGTGGCATGTGAAGAATTTTATCTACAAGGAAAGCCTAAAGCTTCCTAAACCTCTCTTGTCTCTACTTAAAAGGGTTTGCAGGTACTATTGTCCTGGGGAGAGCTCTCCCAGCAAAGCCCCTGCTGAAGATCCAGCTTAGTCTGACAATGGATTTCTTCTGCCAGCTCTCCAAAGTAAACACAATTGTAGCAGCAAAGCCCCACACTAAAGGGACGGTAAATAAGCCTTGTCAAAGGTATTTCATGCCAAAGCTCTGAGGACATTTCCACTCCCATCCAAGGGCCAACACAAAGGTGGTGATGAGAGGAGCAACACTGTCCCCAGATTTACCCAGCTCAGGATGCCATCAGTGAACTTGCTAATTACAAAAAACTCTGATTATTCTCCCAGCTGTCATCCTTTGAGACCCTTTCAGAACATGCAGAATCACAGAATATTTTGAGTTTGAAGGGACCTTTGTCATTTCAGCACTTTTGCCACATCAGAGGTGCAGCACCTGCTCCAACCTGTGCCCAGCTCCATCTCCCTTCTCCCGTGCTGCACCTTCTGTGCAGCAGAGACCCAGCTCCTCGTGGCTTTACCTGTCAGAGCCTCTCTCTCTCTGCAGGCTCAGAGTCATGCAAGTTAGGAGCTGATTCCTGACATCGAGAAGCTTTGATCTGGGAATGGCATGCAAAGAATTCTCTGCCCGAGTATCACCCATTTCATGCTTTCAACTTTGCTTCCCTGTGTTCACAAAACTTCTTGTGATTCACTGAGCTACAGAGGAGCTCTGCAAACCTCAGCACCCGCCAGCCTCCCCCCTCTGAGCACAGGCAGGAGCTGGAATTTTAAGGGCTAAGCAAAGAAATGGATTTTGCCTTGTGCTTCTTGCACTCTTGCCCACATTTGGGCTCTGGGGAAAGGGGAGAACAGGAGGAAAAGGATGGGGGGAAGAAGGGGTTTTCGTCCTCCCAGCACAGTTGCAGCTATAAATGTCGGCATGAAATAGGCTTAGAAAAAGACCCAGAGCATTTTGGGAGCAGACACAGACACTTCTTTTAACAAAGCACCGCTAAAGCACGGCCAGACTCTCACCAGGCGAGAGGCAGCCCGGGCGGGGCGGGCTGGTGTGTGAGATAAAAGCTGCCACACCAGCACCAAACCTGGCATTCCCGTGGGCTCTGCCTGCATCAGCACACAGGCTCTGGCTGCCACCGGTTAAACACGGGGGCTGAGCCGGCTCCTGCGGAGGAACAACAATTAAGGAGCCTTAAGAAGCAAATTGCAGGGACTGCCAGTCCAGGGGCGGCATCCGCCTCCTCGCCGCGGGCGCTGACAGGGCTCAGCCCGGCGCTAATGGTGATGAATGGGGCTTGACGTCAGCCCGGCAGGAGAGGATCCCTCCGGAGCCTCCCACGGCATGGGATAGCAGCCGGGAGAACAGCCCTGCCCCGGCCCCACAGCGCTTCACCACCCTCTGCCAGGCTGCGGAGACAAAACACGGCGAGAAAGTCTGAGTGGGGCGAGGCTTTGGGCTGTGCCTGTGTCAAACTCACGGAAAACAAGCCAGGAGGAGGACAGGGCTGGGATCCCTTCCAGGAGGAGGAGTCCCTTGGAACAGCACCTTGGAAGCTCCATCCCCTGGGTGCTCGTGGCAGCATCTTCTCACCAGCGCTGCCCGCAGAGCACTGACAGCGTGGCCAAGGGCAGGGAGAGCTCTCTGTGGGCCTGAAGAGCTTTCTAGAAAGGTGAAATGGCTGTTCAACCTTCTGACCCACCTGGCCACCAGGTATTACCCCCCTGCAGACCCAGTGCTGTCCCGCTGGAAACCTGTTGGGATGCAGGGTGAGCACCTGGCTGGAGGCGACCCTGCTCCGTGCAGGGTGATCTCCAGAGGTTCCCTGCTATTCCAGGCGACCCTGAGACCAGCAGCAGCCACTGCAGGGCAGTTTGGCTGCATCCTGCTCACCTGCATCTCTGCAGCACTGGCAGAGCAGCTCTGCATCTGCAGATCTGTCCCATGGCACGACAGGCACAGCTCTGCCAGGGGATCAGTGTGCTGGCTGCTCCTGCTCCAGCTGCCCCACCTGACCTGACAGCAGCTATTTCAGGTTGAGCAGCACCCAGGTTGTCTGCTCAGATGCACATTCTTGCATTTAAAGGCAGGGCCTTTAAATGAGGGTCACCCCAAATCGGTGTTTGGGTTTTTTTTTTTAAGGACATGCAGGAATTCTGCCATGTGACAGCCTGAGAACCCTGGAGGCTGCAGCCCTCCCTTTAAGCCACAGTCAGGGTGGGATGACCAGCAACCAGGGCAGATGTCAGCCTCAGGTCTGCCCTCACCCATCCTCCTTCACCTGGACTATCCATGGATGGCAGGACAAAGTGTGGGCCAGGAGTTCTCTGTGCCCATGGCAAAGGCCAGTCAAAGTGAAGCCCTAGGAATGGGGAACCCAAAGAATGCAGTGAGCCCAGTCCAGCCCATTCCACGCTCCCCGTGTTGGGGGTGATTTTGGCAGCACCAGCAGCACGATGCAAACCCCTCTGCCCGTCCCTGGCCGTGTTTGCACAACAACCCCCACACCCCTCCTCGCTCCCCCACCCCCCTGAGCCTCCCCATGGCACACTTGCCAGCACAGACAGCGTGCAAACAGACTCCCCCTCCCTCCCTCCACCCACACACAGCTTTTCTCACTGAGCACCAACACCCACTGCGAGGGGAGAGCAGGACTCTGCCAGTTTTCAAGCATCTTCTCCCTCCTTTCCCTTTCCTGCCATCTCTTCGGAGCAGTTGAAGGGAAAGCACCACCTGCCCATCAGCAAGGAAGGTGGAAAACCATCACCATAAAGCTTTAAGGTCCTTTCAGTTCTGGGTGTTGCTGGTCCTGAGGCCAGACCCTTCCAGGAGATGGACAACTTCATCTCCCCTCACTCGGAAAAGAGCTCTGATCATCACTGAGCCAGGACAGACTCAAACCACTGACACACATCAAAGGTCCAGCATTGTTCCACATCATCTCACTCCCCAAATGGTCCTGCACAGTCACCCACTCATCATTACAAGCACCTTTAGATGCCTCCTACACCAGCACCAGCCTCACCCAAATACACCTGCCCTGGAAACACCCCTGGATCTGCTAAGTGGGCATCACCAAAGGTGATTTGTTACTAAACAGTGCTGAAGGAAGCCTGGGCAGCTGATAACAGGCTGCACAAAGCACACATCAGTCCTTTCCACCCCAGCCATCCTGCCATGGGTGAGCAGGATAGGGGACTGTCACCTCCTGGAAAAAAAACCAGCCAGCCAGAGGTACCCAGGCTGAGTCAGAGGGAGGTTTTTGGGGAGGTCTTTTATCAAAACTGCAGCATCAAACCCTGCCAACAAATCAAACCCAATCCACAGCATCTCCCATTAGCTCCCCTCTGCACCCCAGGGCGTTCCTGCAATGGGTAAATTCAGGAAGTGCTGCTGAGGGATCCCCCAGACAGACACAATTCCATGTGGAGGAGGAAGGGAGCTGAGCACCAAGGCACTGTGAGGCACTGAGCTGCCAGGACAGCAACTGCAGGCTGTGTGGAACAAGGAGAAGGCTGTCACACTGCTGTGAAAATACATTCCTTGGTCTGTACCATGCCAGGGAATTCATTTCAGCTCGAGGATGTGCTGGGGAGAGAGGGAGAGAAAGGCAAGAGCAGGCAACCAGCAGGGACTGTGAGCCAGAGCCTGCACTGCAGCGGGAAGGAGCCAGACATAATTCTTCCAGCCCAATTGTCCCCCAGGGCTCTGATGCCAAAAAATAGGAGATGGGAAGATTTGCTGCTGCCCCTTGCTTGTTTGCTGTGGGCAGCACACGTGTGCAGTGTCAGCTGAACTGCTGGAGACCACAGGCTGTGCCAGAGCCGGGAATGCTGACGGGGGAGAGCAGCTTTACTGCCCTGCTCCTCCAGGGAGGAGCTGGGTGCTCAATCTGCCTGCCCTGCATGCTCAGAGGGGCAAATTAGCCCTGTGTCTTCCGAATTTGGGTCATCTTTCACAAAAAGAATGAGCTCAAGGGACTCTTCATTAGGAACTGTAGTGAGAGGACGAGGGGGAATGGCTTCACACTGACAGAGAGTAGGTTTAGATGGGATATTGGGAAGAAATTCTTCCCTGGGAGGGTGGGGAGGCCCTGGCACAGGTTGCCCAGAGAAGCTGTGGCTGCCCCATCCCTGGAAATGTCCAAGGGACAGGTTGGAGGGGGCTTGGAGCAACCTGGGCTAGTGGAAGGTGTCCCTGCCCATGGCAGGGGGTGGAATGAGATGAGCTTTAAGGTTCCTTCTAACCCAAACCACCCTGTGATTCTATGATTCTATGAGTCCTTCCAAGTGATTTCTCCCAAGCCAAACCTCCAGCAGCTGATCCCAAAGAGTACAGGATTCCTGCTCTGATGACAAGTCAGGCTGCTGACACAGACAGAGGTGTCCCTACAGCTCTTCCCAATCCCCCTCTTCCTTCCCTCTCCATTTGTTTTGCGAGCAGGTCGATAAGATATGTACTGGAAAATTTGGGTCAAGCACAGATTTATGTTTATGTAGCATCCTGCTCAATCATATCAGGGTGCACAATTAGCTGTAATGGAATTTTCAGCTCTTAAGAATAAATCAATAGCTGGTTAATTTAGAAGCAATAAAATGCAACACTTTTCCCATACAGCCCAGAGCTGCTCTGAGGAGATTCAGTGCCACGGGGGGATTACAGGAAAGGCACTGCATGGAGCTGGATAATTCTCTGACCTTTTGGTCCTGCACATTAAGTGTGTGTGAGTCAAACCTTATTTTCTGACGGCTGATCAGGGCAAAGGAGGAACCACTTTCCTACAATAATATTGTGCTGCACAGAGGCAGGTGCAGAGCTTTCATTTTGGGTAAGATTTGGGACCCCTGTGGTAGGTTTGTGTTGCAGCTGATGCCTTCTCTGTGCTAAAGGTTGGATGGAGAAGAGTGTCCAAGGGTTAGACCCACCAAAAGAGGAATGTGTGCCCCTAACACAGGATCTGCTGGATCCCATGGGATAAGGGATGAACAAGGGGCTGGAAGCAAGGGAAAACTCCCCTGGGGGATGTCAAGGACAGAGAGGAACCCCTTGGACAGTGCAAAGCCCTCAGAAAACCACGTCCCAAGGAGCCCTGAGCAAACACAACACCAAGCACACAGCCAGCTCTGCCCTGGCTGACCTGATCCAAAGTGCCAGTCCCTGGGATTGATCAAAAACTTGCTGAAACCACTATAAAGGCTCTCGGGGACACAGCAAGAACAAAGCAGAGAAAGCTGCTTCTCTTCTCCAATTTGTGATTCAGCCTCACAGGCTTCGCCAGCTCTGCCTTGCTGAAGCAAGAAGTAAAAATCCTCCTAAACAAGGCTCGAGCTGCAGAAGAAACAAACGGTTTCCGTGAGGAGATGAACTTAAAGCACCTACCACCAAAGAAAAACAAGCCTCCAGAAGCTCCCATTTAACGGGGAGGCACTGCCAGGGTTAGTAGGCCAAAAGTCTGGTGGCTGTTCCCTTCCTTTGCCTGCACAGATCGCTGGCTGCTCTCGGCGCCTTCCCTCTTGCCTCCCGCCAGGAATGCTGCACGAGGGTAATTGTGTGTGCATGTACATACACAGGCAGAGAAAGATGGGTAAAAGCTATGCCAATAGCCTGGAGCATTTGCAAACAGCCGTGCAGAAGGCTCTGCTGAAAGAGCAGATGGAGGTGGGATCTCAGCTGGCGTCGGGAATCATCGCTCCGCTGGGAAAGGGCGACCCAGGAGACAGGAGCTGGCTCAGGAGAATCTGCAGTCTGTTCCATGACCTGTCTCTGACCCTCAGCAAATCCCAAAATCCCTCTTTCAGACTTAAGAGCTGTCCCACCTGACCTGAGGCACTCGGCTCAAACTCCTCAGGTAGGATGAGCATCAGCCAGGTCCCCTTTGCCATGTGGGGAAGAAGCAGAGAGAGGCCACTGGGCATCTTCTAGATGAGGATTCCATAACCATTAAGGGTTGAAAAAGACCTCCAAGATCCTCAACTCCAACCTTCAACCAAACACCACCCAATAAATCAATAAATTGATGTTCACTCATCTCCCACAGGTGGGAGGAAAGCTGTGGCAGGAGCCCCAGATCCCTGCCTGGAGCCACAGGGGATGGATTTGGGCCCTCGTTCCTCTGCTCTGCAGGAGGTAAATGATGGAGTGACTCAAGATCTCCTCTCCCACAGCGGTGGGATTATCACAAACACACTGAGGATTTGCCACCAGCTGAGAAAGTGTCGCTGGGTTCTCGCAGCTTTGGTAATGATGAGACAGGGTAGAAATAAGTGAGTAAGGAAAAGTTGGCTTAAATAGCATCAATCTTACTGTTAGCTTTGGCTGAGCCTATTTTACTAAGGATCTCAGAGCATTTTGTGAGCTGTATTTAAGCTCCAGGAACCCTGGGGCAGGGCTGCCTTGAGCTGCTGAGGAAAACAAAGAGCAGGGAGGGGGGGTAGAGGCTGAATGGGCACAAGTGTACGCAGAATTATGGTCAAACCCAGTAAAAAGCATCCAGCTTTATTGCTGGGCAGCAGCACCACAGAGCACAGCAGCGAAAAGACCTCAATCCACGTGCTTCAAGCAAACAGAAAGTGTTCTTCTCCAAAAAACAAACAAACAAACAAACAAACAACTCAGTTAAGAAGTTGAATTGAATCTCCCAAAACTTTTCTGGGTAGAAATGCGATTCTTACTTGCTTCCCTCCCAAACACTGTGGTTTTGTGAGGTTTTTTTCCAGTTTATACCAAGCCCTGTGTGTTTTTCTGTTGCAAGCTTTCATTCATCTTTCCACCAAGAAAAAATAATCCACTCTGTAACGAGCTCTTACGCAGGATCCCAGAGTTCAGGTGTCTTTTCCAGCAGAGTGAGCACCCACTGGGAGCACCCACTTGGGGCCCTGCTGCTCCTGCTCTTGCTGTCACGCCACCACAACAAACCCATCTGCCACTGGGAGAACACACCCTCAAAGCCTCACAAATGGACTAAAACACCCCCAACTCAAGTCCTTCTCGTCCTGGAGCACTTAAAAAAAAACCCATCAGGGCTCTGCATTCGCCAGGTCCCGGCAGGGCAGAGTTAAAAAGAGCAGAGTTAAAAAGAGCCGAGTTAAAAAGAGCAGAGTTAAAAAGAGCCGAGTTAATTCACTTACCCGGGCAATGAGCTCGCCCACCATCCCTGTCCAGGTGCCATTGGCCTCGGGGACACCGTAAACCCCGTCCCCAACGAGGTGGATCTTGTAGTTGAAGCGCAGGATCTCTGCCAGCTCCTTCAGCATGTCCACGCAGAAGCCCTCGTAGCGGTCGTTGCCTTCCAGCTCCTGGTGGTTCCACTTCAGCATTAAGTAAGGGTTTTCCTGCAGTGAAACTGGGCAGCTGTCATTCCCATCTTAGCCAGCACGGAGCGGGGAGGGCAGTGCCAGGGTGGCAGGAACTCGTGGAGTCGTGGGATGGTCTGGGTTGGAAGTGGCCTTAAAGATCCAACCCCAGTATGAGGGGCACACCATCCCAGTATGGATATAATTGATATGGAAAGCTGGGTGCAGGGGGTGTAAAGCCACCAGGGCTGTTTCCACACTGGGATTCACTGGGCTCTGCTGCGTGGATTTATCCCAGTTTAAGATAAGGGATCATGCTCTGGGGGCTGCTTCCAACTGGGACATGCCCAGAGCAGCCCAGTGACTGCTCTGAGTCACAGCAGGACACACAGACTCAGCTTCTCTTGGCAAAGAGCCACTTCTCCAGTCTGCCCCCACTTTCAAACTTTGTGGGGCATGAGGAAATCCTCTCTTGGCAAAGAACCACTCTTCCAGTCTGCCCCCACTTTCAAACTTTGTGGGACATGAGGAAATAGGATTTTGGCTGTCTTTAAGGAAGGAGCAGAGGCATTGAAAAAAAAAAAAAAATCACTGGACAGGCAGCACCCGGAAGGGGAAACCTGTTGAATAAGGTGGTGCCTGTAAATGTGAAGTCTTCATCAAAATTGAGCCCATCTTGGCCAATTTTTATAATTTTATGGGTTGAAGGGACAATTGTCCCTTCCAACTTACCAGCTGTACTCAAAACAAGACCATCATTCAGAGATGAATGTAAAATGGCAACGTATCCCCATCCCAGCCCTCTCCCCAGCTGCTTCTGAACTCATCAAATATCATTTCCATATGAAACATCGACTTGAGTTTAATTACACTGCCATGAATTGTCCTCAGTGCCGTAATTAGAGATTTGATGGCCTGCTCTGGATGAAATCAGCGTGCAGTGCCTCATGCTGGGGGTCCAGGGGGGCAGGGAGAGGGAGGGATATTCCAGCTGATCGACACCCCTGTGAGTTGGGAGCCAGTGGGAACTGCAGGTGACCCCCTCACTTACCAGGATGGTGGTGACAATGAGCGTGGTGTTGAACAGACTGTCTGATATGTTGGAGGAGAAGATCCTGTTGTCCATGCTGAGTCCTTCAGACACGTGCCAGTGGCCAATCTGGAGGGATAAACAGCACAATAAGGGAATTTATAGGGCGAGTTACTGCACAGAACCCTCCATATGGCTCTGGTGAGTGACAGCCATCGGGCTGGCCTGCCTGTGAATGCTCCATTACCTTTACAAGGCACCCCCACAACAGGTCAGCAGAGACATTAACCCTCTGGTGCACCCCCCACCTGCTCTGCAGTGCCAAAAACCTGTCCCTGCTCAGGGCAGGAGCTGCCTTCCCACACGTCCTCCCTGCAGCAGCTCCCTGGGGCTAGTGGTGGTCCAACAGCCCGGTGTGCTGGCCCCAAAACGCCACCAGGGTGGGTCAGTCTTACCCAGCAGTGCCCACACAGCCAAAGCTCCCAGCTTGTCCCTGCCAGCGTGGTTTTGGAGGCTCTGCCCTCCACCTTGGGGGCAGATGGTGGAAGGAAGGCACGTCCTCAGTGGTGCTGCTCCATGACTCATCTCCTCTTGCTGCTGCAGTGGATGCCAGCTACTCCAATTAAGTACCTCCAAGCTTTGATCCGGGCTCATCACACCCAACAGCTCTAATTTACCCATCCAAGCATCAGTGGCACTGCAGCAAAGCCCAATTCCCACCACGGATGGCAGGGACCAGTCCCCCAGTGCTTGGGAGGACGCTGTGATTCAGCTGTGACGCAACAGAACCATCCTGCTGCCTTCAGCCAGGGGGGAGGAATATTCAACAGAACCTAATTTTAACTTCAAGAGCCTAATCTCCCTCCCTCAGAGCTCTGGGCAGGGAGATCAGCACCTCCAGCATGCAAATCAGACTCTGGCTAAAAGAGCCTCTGCTTTTCCTCATGGATAGAGGGGTGGCTGAGGGAGGCCAGCTCCCTTTGAGAACACTTCTCCCTCCTGTTTCTCCTCTCTGTCCCCATCAGTCCAAGCCCCCTGACTGTTGTCCTCAGACACCTCTGAAGTGAGGTGTTGTGCCCCTGAGAGGCAGCGGGTGACCCCAGCACGCAGGGGAGCCTTCACGGCTCTTCCACAGCTGGAACAAATCCATTCCCAGCTCCCTCGTGCTGCCACGAGGCAGGTTATGCTCCGGCTGTGCCACGGCTGTCAGGGTGGCAGGAACAAATGGATTTCTGTTCCGTCACAGACCAGTCTTGTTGTGTCCAAGGAGGCGGGCGGGAGGTGACGCGGAGCCGTGGCCCGGTCGGGAGCATGGGATACACACGGATTTACTCTGCCCTGGGATTGACTCCGTGCACCCAGCCCCTGCTCCTGGCAGTGCTCTGCCTCTGCTGTGACTGACGGCTCCAGGGCTTTGGAGTCACTTCCCAGCTCATGGATCTGAGCCCAACACAACCTGACACCACAGCCCTGCTGTGCACACACCGAATCCTCCGGATGGTCAGGGAGTGACCAAGTCCTTTCCTCTCCCAGCTGTTGGTGCAAATCCAGCTCAAGTGACCAACAAGCCATTATTACAACGTGTGGGATGTCCCTAATTCAGCTTCCTCACCTCAAGGCACAAGAAGCAGTGGGAAGTGCAAGCAGGACATCTTACACTCAGAGTCACGGAATCACACAATATTCTGAGTCTGAAGGCACAAGATCATCAAATCCAGCTCCTGACCCTGCACAGAACACCCTCAAGAATCCCCTCACGTGCCTAAGAGCACTGTCCAAATGCTCCTTGAGCTCTGTCAGACTGTGACCACTGCCCTGGGGAGAAGGAGCAGGCAGGGAAGGCAAATGTCTGGGAAGCACTTCCTCTTGGAGGCTCCCCACTAACAGGAGAGGCACTGGGGAGGTCACCAGTGTCAGCTGGCAAACAAGGAGATGGAGGCACAGGGATGGTGTGTTGGAGCAGGCTGGGTGCAAATTTTGGGCACCCTGTTGACAGCTGCTTGTGACTTTACCACCATGCTCGCAGCCCCACGGTGACACTGCCGTGCAGGACTCACCTCTGCTGGGGAACAACAGCCTCAAACTGGGAGATTTACCCGGTATTTCACAGGAAGGGGTCCTTAAAGCACAGCCTTAACTGGCCTGCACAGGGTGTGCACGGATGGGCTGGGATGGATCCACCCCAGCCCTGCACAGAGGTCTCTCCTCTCGCTGGGATTGCTGAGGAGCAGCCCCTCTGCAGCCATTTCCTCCCAGGGAGAATCATCACTCACAAACACTGCCTCATTTTTTTCCCCTCCTGGATCTCACAACCAGAGATTAGTGACAGATTAACTTTAATTTTAACAGCCCTCGCTGTTCTCCAATTTGTCCCTCCCCTGCTGGCACACACTGAGACTAATTGCCTGCCTCCTCCTCTGACAGTGCCGTGGGTTTGACCTTGCTTTTCACACAGCACCAAAGCCACACTCTCCCACGTGCCAGGGTACTTCCCCCCAAATCCTGGGGGGACTCAGCTCACCACTGTCCCCCTCACAGGCTGACAGAGCCACTAATTGACTCCCCACGCCGCTCGTTGTTTTTAAAGTGCAAGGTGTCAGAGGATGTCTGGGATCCTCACATCCCTGCCTTTCCTGCAAGATGGATGTCAAGGTGATTTTAATCACCTCCATCTACATATAAAGAGCCTCTGAAAAACAGAAAACATATCCATCTGCAAAATGGGCTGGAAAACAATCAAATCCTCCACGTGGACGTGGATAAGACCATCCTGTTGTTAAGGCTCTGGACAAGGACTTCCGAGTTTTTAGGACTGGGGGTTTTTTAGTGGTGGATATGATTGGTCTGTATAAATACACCAGGTGGAGGAGGCCCGTAGCAAAGAGGTAGAACAGCTTTTGAAGCTGAAATGATGGCATTGGCACAAAAATAAACAGACATAAACCAGCCAGAAATAAACAGCCTGAAAACTGGAGGAGTGTTCCTAATGATCAGAGGAGCTGGAATGGTGTCATACCTGTCCTAGGAGGGCAGCAAGAGCAACACAGTCACCTGGGTGCAAGCTGGAGCTTGATGCCTTTGCGAGAGGGATTCTACAGCCTGTGACAGGTCTGGATGGAGAAGGTCCCCTCCATGCCCTCAGGGCTGTGTGGTCCCACTGCATCATCTCTGCACATCCCAGTGCCTCCCTCTTGACCAAAGAAGATCAAGTCCTGCCTGCAGCACCCGCAGGCCCCTGGAGGCAGGTCTGCCTTGCTGTCTGTCCTTGTTAAGGCAGGGAGCAAACACACAGTTTCAGTGGGAGCCAGCCCAGAAAGCCCCAAACCAGGGATAATCAAGGAAGTGCCATTTCTCGTGCCACTGCTCTATCCCCACAGGCAGGCAAGGTCCCTCAGTTCAGCTGCTCTGCAAAGGGTGTTATTTGGATCAGTGACAGCCAAAGATTTCTCATCTCCCCAGAAAATCCCTGGCAGCTGACACGATGCACAGGGGGCACTCCTGGCTGCTCCTCCCATCCTGCAGCCCCTCCATGCAGAGGCTTTGAGGCTCCTCATGGTGTGAGATGATGGAATACCACTCCAACTCGTGATTTTAATAAAATCTTCTGCTCAGTGTTATCTAGGCAGCTGGTGGCAGGGAGAGGTGACATAGCAAGACTTCTCCATAAGCCTCAGAGGCACCACAGGTACTTCCCAACCCCATTCCCAGCTTAAAATTAAGGTAAAGCCAGGCCTGAATACAGGTCTTGGAACAGGCAGGGGAGTGTGCAATAAACCCAGACACCTTCTGGGCTCTGATTAGCAAGTGCTGTCCTACAGCTTGCATCCTTCACAATGTCCCCAGGAAAAGGGAGGAGTGCAGAGTGCAATCATCCCTCATCAAGGTGCCCCAAGGAGAGGGAATTTAGGAGTGTCTGGGGGGAAAAAAAGGGAATAAAACAAACAAATGAGGGAAAGCCCTCAGAGGACAGGTCTGCTGTGGGGTTGGCACTCCTGAAGGACATCACTGCCAGGCTGATGCCAGCACAGCAGGCAGGCAAAAGCTTCCTCCACTGAATTTAGGAAAGGGCACTGAAAGCAGCAGCTGTTAAAACCTGAACAACCACGAGACACTCACACAGCCCTCCCTGAGGTCATGCAGCAACCCCCACGATCCCCTTCCTCCCCAGATGTCCTCTCTGGACATGATGGACACTTGGCATAGCCCAGACAGGGCCTGACAGTGGCATGTCCGAGTTTGTCAGGTCCTGGGGGGCAAAAGCCATTCAGCTCTTGGCAGGATCTGTCCCTGAGCCCTTGCTGGGGGTAACAGCTAAGGAGGAACAAGTCCCATCGAGGCTGATTAGCCTCTTCCAAGTTAAAGAGGTTTGATGCAGCAGGGATTGCTGAGGGTCTCAGAGCTATCACTGGGAACTCATCTGTATCTCATCAACATACCAATTAAACAGCCCCATCACTCCACTGCTCTGTCTCAGGACACCAGCAGAGCCTTTAGCTAAAGAGAGACTAATCTGCCTCACTTAGGGCCAGGCAGAGCTGGGGTCAGTGTGCCCACGGCTCCAGCCCCACCACAGCTCCCCCTGCCCCTCCTCTGCCCCTTCCCTTCCTAAATCACAGCCCTCCTTCAGCCCCTTCTCGTGCTGAGCTGCCAAACCTCAGCTCGTGGTTTACTGCCAAGCAAACCTCTGAACCCACAGGGGTGTGCTGCAGTGCTTTTCAAAAGGGGCAAAGAGAGGCAAAAAAAAAATAAAAAATAAAAAAAGATGACATTTACAAACTCAGCCCTTGTCAGATCCATAGATCACCAGCACATTAATGAGCCTGTGCTTTATCGAGCATCCTGTGAACGGGGAGCAGCTCTCATATGGCTGTGGGAAATAAAAAAAAAAAAATCCCTCTAGTTAAGCTAAATCAGGAAAAAGACACGTTTGGTGCGTTACATAAATGTATTAAAAATTGGATGTCAAAAAGCCCTGCCTCTCCTCGCCCAAAAGCAACAGCAAGTTAGAAAGTCTTAAAGTGTCTCTAATTTGTTCGCTGGCTGGATCAGCTTCAAAATTTGGTGAACTCTCTGTCAAAGCTGATGAGCTGGAAGTCCCTGTGGCTTCAACAGATGGAAGGAGAGAGGGGAGAAAAGAGAAAGAGGGAAGGAGAGGAAGAGAGGAATGGGCAGAGAGCGTGGGGTTGATTAAAACTAAGGAGGGAATAGAAGTGTTTCAAACAAGAGCCTGAGCAAATCAGTTAATGCAACCCTTGGGAACAACGTTGTCTCCAGGATGTGAACGCCTGTTCTTTAGCCCGTTCCTTTAATTAAATTATTTCTAATGATTTATTTAGCCCTTTTTATTACAGGAAGCCAGGCTGGCAATGAGAAAATAACCACCTGTGGCCCAGCAGAGTGGCCTCTGCCTTCCCTCTGCAGGGACCTGGAGGGGTGGGAGGTCAGGCAGGAGCCTGCCAGGTTCCACAGCTCCCTGGGGATGCCCTTCCCAATTAAACACAGCCCTGTTTCAGGCTGTGAGGGAGCCTGACACCCCTCCAGGCACTGCTGTTGGTCAGGCAAGAGCCCTGAGAAGGGGAGAGGAGAAGGAGGAAAGGCTGCCACAGGCATTCCGAGCAGGTTTACAAAAAACCAGCTCTTTGCTGGTGGGTTTGTGACAGGAGAGGGTTCACAGCCACCACCAAGGGACTGCCCTGTCCTTCCAGCACCTTTTTACTGTGACTGGCAGTGATACATCACCACTGCACCCTGATGGGAAATTTGGGAAGGTTAATCCCAGCACAGCTTTCCTGGGCACCTTGGAAACACAAAGCTCCTCGTTCACAGAGGTCAGGAAAGGTTTCCTCCTGTCAGACCAGGTTTGTGGGGAAGAGCTGAGCCTTTAGTCTCAGGGCAGATTAGGCTGCAGTCAGAGCTCTTCGTGGAGCTCTGGGAGAGGCTCTGCTCCAAGAGGACCTGTGCCTTTCCTGTGAAGTCCCTGCCACATTTAAACACATCAAAAACAAAGCTGTCACAGGGAGGTCTGCAGCGTTTTCTTCCCCAGTCCAGCTGAATGCACATCCTTATTAACACAGATGGGCTTGGATCTGTCACTTTTGTTCAGAGGATGATGGGCTTGGGACAGGATTAAAAGGGCATTGATGCCATGAGAGATCTCACTGTGGGGAAAATGCCATCCTGATCCCCCTCTCACGCAGCAAAAGGCAGCATCAAAGCCAAGCTGTCACTTGACAGGTAAGAACTGGCAGGTAACATCCTTGCCAAGGCTGAAATTCAGTGCTGCCAGACCAGGGGAGACTTCCCAATGCCAAAAAGCTCTGTTGGTGAGGGTAAGATACAATAGCTTTTGTTCTCTGCCGAAGTCTAAGAGAAGTGGCAGTCTCTGAGAAAAGGGCAGCAGTGGAGTTGTCAGCAGGGAAATAAGATAAAACCTCTTTTTCTGGGACTTCTATTTTTTTTTTCCTGAATGCAGTTGGATTTACCAGTAAAACCCTAATTCCTTGGGCTTGTGTCATGTAATCTCAGCAGTCTGACACCCATGACCCCACCTTAACCTTGGCTCAAGGAAATATCCCTTGGACAGAAAGAGGGTGACGAGGAGAGAAAGGACCAGCACTGGGAGGAAGCCAGGAGCACTGAGACAGAAAGCAAATGAGAGTCTGAGCTAAGCAAACCTGTCACAGGGGAACCACAAACCCAGGGGGGAAGGATCTTGAACTTCCCCCCACATGCCAAGTAGGGGAGAGATGGTGGGGAGCTCCTGATGGGGGGTTGCCCCCTTTGCTTTCCCTCACAGAAGTTGTTTGGAAAGGTTCAGAGTACCCCCTTTTTTTTTCCCCCATTTCGTGGGAAATTCTCCCGTTTTTCCAAACAATTTTGAGCAAAGGTATCCACGAGCTTAAGGACAAAAGGGCCACGAGTGTGAGCTCGTACCTGGCACAGACTCCATGCCCTGGATTACCTCCTGGGCACGGAGGTTACTGTGACAGGACAGAGATTGGCTCTGACATTGCCACCTCGGGGGCCTGATGCATGGAGACACATCTAAATTATCCCAGATGTGCTCCTGATAAAGTGGAACCTGCTGGGTTTGGCAGCTCAGGCTCGGCAAGAGCCGCCGTGACCCACACCCTGATCCATGTCCCGATCCATACTGTGATCCATGTCCCGATCCACACCCTGATCCATGTCCCGATCCATACTGTGATCCATGTCCCGATCCACACCCTGATCCATGTCCCGATCCATACTGTGATCCATGTCCC